GCACTTCAAGAGGGATGTGGACAACATGGAGAGGGTCCAGAGGGGGGCCACTCGCATGATCAGGGGGCAGCAGGGCAGGCCCTATGAGAAGAGGCTACGGGACCTGAACCTGTTCAGCCTCCACAAGAGAAGGCTGAAGGGGGATCTAGTGACCTGTTAAAAACTAGTCAGAGGGGACCAGCAGGCTTTGGGGGAGTCCCTGTTCCCCCAAGCGCTACCAGGAGTGACTAGAAATAGTGGGCACAAGCTGACAGAGGGTAAATTCAGATTAGACAGCAGGAGGCACTACTTCACTGTCAGGGCGGCTAGGATCTGGAACCAACTTCCAAGAGAAGTGGTGCAGGCTCCTACCCTGGGGGTCTTTAAGATGAGGCTAGATGTACACCTTGCTGGGGTCATTTGACCCCAGTACTTTCCTGCCATGGCAGGGGGTCAGACTTGATGATCTGCTCAGGTCCCTTCCAACCCTACCAACTATGAAACTATGAAAAAAATCTGCTCCCAGGAAAACTCTTTAAGATGTAAAAGAAGATATTTTTGTTGTGTTTAATGCTACACACTTACCTTGTTTGTGATTTGGTGCCCGAAATGGTGTGAACTATTAATGTTTTTAAACCAGGATTTGTTTAAATATATTTAGAATCCAAAAATATGCTGGATGGCAGAGTAAGTATTAACACAGAGTACAAACAGCTAAGTAAAAGTTATATCTGAATGCCATTATTTAAGGTTCAGGGAGAGATCCAGCATTTGCAGTCTGTTTCTTGTTGTAAGAAGTCTGGCTCAATCACTATGAATCCTACAGAGAGATGTTCTGTTGTATATGTGTCAAGGAAGGACAGGAGTATTTCTCTGGAACTTATTCCTATAAAAACAAGCCAAGAAACTGTAGGTAGGAGGTAAACATTTTAATGCATGAGGAACCTGGAGAATGGTGGATGAATGTTAGTGTGTGCCTGTGCAAGTTTGTGAGTGAGCCTGGATGTTTTTGCTGAAGCAAATTGTCATTTCCTCCCAACCAGGTCAGCTGAAAAATTAATGTCAGAACATTGTATAACTCCTTCCTTACTCTGGGGAAGAGAGTTGCATACAAGGCTCTATGTCAAGAGTTGTATACCTCTTGAAATCCACCAGCTGAGTATCACTGTCTTGTTCAGTGCTCAGCATCGTTGAATCCCACTAAAGTCCACTGGAGTTGAGGCTGTCTGTTCTTTTATAGGATTGAGCCCTGAATCGTTATGGCCAAACTAAAAACTGATTTGAGTTTATGTTGTACATCTGTATGGTTACCATGTTCAAACTCATTATAACAGACTCTTGTTATAACAAACTTCCAACAACAGAAACCAGGTTTTCTTTCATGCTGCTGCTGCAATAAACTAATAGGGCTGTGCAAAACAGCACCGTTCCGCTTTGACTTCTGTTTCAGTGTTTCGGTGGAACAGTGTTTCATTTTGAATTTTGTTTAGTTTCAAAAGCACCGTTCCGTTTTGCTTTGTTGAAACTCTTTGGCTGTTTCGATGCTGTTTTGCCATTTCACCCATAGGTTATAATGGGGAATCATAAAATGTGGCAGGCAGGCAGATCGGGGGCTTGTTTGCACCCCTGAAGGAGCTGCAGGGGCTGTGCTGGAGTCTTCCTGGGGCTGCGGCCCCCTGATTTGCCTGCCAGATGACAGACCAGCCCTGGACGCAGCCTGCACCCAGAGCTGGGAAGATCGGTGCTGCTGCTGGCCCCAGGAGGCAGCACCTGGCTGCCTCCTGTCATCCGGCAGGCAGATCGGGGGCCCGCACCCCCAGGAGGACTCCGGCATAGGATCTTTGTTC